TAGAATAGAATAGAATAGAATAGAATAGAATAGAATAGAATAGAATACTTTATTGGCCAAGTGTGATTGGACACACAAGGAATTTGTCTTGGTGTAAATTAATACTCTGTCATCTGAAATTTCTTTTTGGTAGTATTCAGACATCGCAAAATATGTTTCTTTTAAAAGGTATCATTATACTTGTCAATTTCATGACCAACATGGATTAAATTTTAAGTTTTACCTGCGATTTGAGATCATCCGAATATACTGCTGATAGAATAGAATGACATATCTTTGCTTCTTTGTTGCAGCCTCTCTGCCAGTACGTTATCTGTGTCTTCGGGGAGCAGCATGGGATCCTTAGCATCTAGTCGAGGGTCTCTGAATACATCTAGTGGGGGATCACTGAATTCTCTTAACTCTACAGACCTCTACTACAACCAAGGTGATCAACCTGTAGATTTAGACTATCAATATAAGTTGGATTTCATATTACAAGAGAAATGTGGTTATATTCCTTCTGGCCCTATTACCACCATTCATGAAAATGAAGTGGTCAGCTCTCATGAGAAAATGGGATACAGTGACTCTTCCAGTTCTTTGGCAGCAAGTCATGCACCCAAAATAACTGAACCTCCTAAATCTGTCACATCATTCTCTTCAAGATCTTCCCTTTCATCATTATCTCCTCCTGAATCACCTTTGGTTTTAGAAGGTGGCTTTTCAGTCCCTCCTCAAGATTCTCCGTTACATCATTTTGCCACGGACTTTGAGGACTGCGATTTACCCAGTGACTTTACAAGCATTACTACCTGTGAGAAACAAATTTTGCTGGATTCTGAAACTAGAATGTCTTCTCAATCACTTAATGATAAATATCGCAATGAAAATGTTTCACAGAGCATATCACATTCAAGAAATACAGGTAAATATGTCTTACTATTCAAACTCAGCCAATTCTTCCTCTCTGGATTGAACTGAGTTTCTGAAACTTAGCATCCAATATGTCCTCAGAAAATTGTGCATTTTCCCCTGATAATCTGATAGGTCACTGTCAACAAATAAAATCATTAGCAGCTCAGCACATCACTTCTGTACGAAACTTTAAGAAATAGGACTAGATAAGAAAGATCCTGGGAGATTAAATTTGAGAAACTACTATAAAAATGGGTGGAACTCTAAAAACTGGTTGTGGTGAAACAGCAACAGCAAACAAGCAAGCAAAAAACAGATGGTATATGTACTAGAAAGAATTCACAGCAATAGGAAGATATGAAATTGTGATGAATACCTGTAGTTCGAATGTAGGGTGAAAGTGAAGGCTCAAAGAATGAACCTTCACTCTCATAGGAAGATATACTGACAATAGAGGCACTGAGACAAAAACATTGGATAACTTTATAACAGGAAGATGTTCACAAAACCAGTGAGCTGCCATGGCATGATCCAATCCCTTGAGAGCCTGTGCTGATGATATCTTCACTATTCTGTAGTTTCAAACAGCTCATTTAACAGCACAGGTAGAGAAGCTTTGCCCCAAATCTGTATAAAGGTCTGAACTTAAACTGTACATCATTTCCCCCATATTTTCTACTATCTGTTTCTGCCTATTAATTACTGAAGTTAAAACAACTTCAGGTATCTATGTGGGTTTAATAGTCCTTCCCTGTTGCAGTGAAACGTCTAGAAAAAGATAATTTTTCCAATCTGGCAGCCTATTCAGATATCTGCTTAGCTATTTGCAAAAGGGAGTTAAAAATAAGTAAGACATTTTAAAAGACAAATAACACTTTCATTATAGCTTGATTTTTCTTCATTACTGTTCACTTCATTAAATGAATAAAGTATGATGCTGACAGATGAGAACATACTATCCATGGTTTCAAGGATTGGCTGAAATAAGGCGGGGGGAATGAATTGGCATGTTGCAGAGAAAGGTGTAAGTATATATTGAAAGCAATCATTCAAAAAAAGTGTGGATGTGACATAGTCATTCTAGAAATCTTATAAATTCATTAGTATGTTAAGTATTTGTTAGTGGATTAACAAAACTAATATTTTTAATTTAAACCTAACTATTTTAATGATGTTAGTAATTTTGCTCAAAAATACCCACTTTTAAGGCAGTCACAGTGTTCTGTGTAGTTCCAAATATTCCTTCATTTTCCAGGGTATTTGTTTTATCACACAGTATGTATGCATTTCAGTCTTCCAGTTTTGTGACTGACCAAGGAGTTTCCATTTCTCTCTGTAATTTCTGCAAGGAGTTTCCATTTCTCTCTGTAATTTCTGCATTTCATTTCTTTCTATTATTTACTTCTAGCCATGGTTATTTGTTTGTGTGAATTATTTGTATGCTGCTTCTTAAAGTCATTCTAGGCAGCCTACAACAATATATTAAAAACAGCCATAAAATCCAAGTATTACAAATCTTTTAAAACATCCTCACAAATCTAATGTAGTTCAACTTTAACCCCCCCTCAGTTCCTGAGGGTTGTATGTATCTCTTCCTCATATTAATATTTCTGAAGAAGCGCTACATGCTGTCCAACAAATTATATTGCAATAAATAAATGCTGCAAGATTTTTTGTTGTTTTACAATAGTTTAACAGACAGTTCTTTGAAAACTGTAATGATGTCTGGTGTACAAATAATCACACACGGTGATATCTCAAATTTGGGAGCAGCTGGTTGTTCAGAAGTTAAGTAAACTGCACGAATTTATTGTGAGTGAATTTGGATTTGTTACTTGCCATCACAGGATCTTTATTTTTATTTATTTTTGCAAGATCAAACAATTTGTCCTTTAAATGTATAGAGATGTAATTTGACACCCCCCCCCCAAAAAAAAATATATTGTACCACAAGGGTATAGAAAGAAAGACAATAGTAATTCTTATATCTCAAAGGAAGTTATTGTGAAGGAACTTTTCCCGTTGGCTTATTTAAAATCAAGAAGATAGGGCAGCCAAAGAGGCTGTTGCAGGGATGGAGATAGGAAACAGGAAGAAAACCAATAGCAACCATTTTTCCCACTGTAAAATGTGTCCCAAAATGAACATATTTTAAAGTAAAAATCAATCTGGATATGTCATCTTCTTAGAATGTTATACTTATGGTTGATTGTTATACTTATGGTTGGGATTAATATTTTAGTTTTCTTTTTGCCCTACATTCTGGTATGTAAGATAATGAAATCTATGATAGAAATATTCTAAACAATGCTAGATTAGTTTTAATAGTTAGATTGAAGATACATGTTCAAAAACTTTTTTGCCCAGATTTTTGAATAATGTATTGCCATATTTTGGTTGAATACTTCAACCAAATATATACCTTTTCACATACAATTCTTTTAGTTAGAAATCACTGTTATTTAGTTACATGTGTAGAAATAAAAACATTATATAACAATGAAACTACATTTTATAGTGTCCTTCAACCAAATGGTGTTCCCAAAACAGTAATAAGAATGAATGTATAACATGTAACATAAAGTATTGCTCAAAGCCTTGAGTGAAGCCTGACCTCCTGGTGACTACATGAACATGCCATCCTATTTGCTTGGTAAAATACAGGATGTCTTTTCAATTTCCTAATGAAGTTTGCCACTCTATGGTTTCCTGGTGTTTCCCTTTAACTACAGACCTGTTGGGACCCTTCTTAGATTTTCCAAAATCAGTTGAGAGTGGCTAGCTACTGTCACTTGCTGTGTCGGTTAAATAAAATATGTAAATTTAAAAGTGTGGGGAAGTAAGAAAGGAGTGTTTGCCATAAAGACAGTATAATGGATTCCATGAGAGGAAATTCTAGAAAACCTGGTCCAGCAGCAACCTGCCTCAGTTCAAATGGCAATAATACCCAGAGCAGCAATGAACTCAAAGCCAAAAGAAACAGATTGTAGGAACAGGTGTTCCCTTAAGTATTTCAACTCAAGTCATTGTACTTTGAAAGTAAGCCCCAATATCTTTAACTGTTCTTTGTGGCTAGGGTAAAGAATGGAAGTGTCATTGACATTGTTGCTTAATTATGTAGGTTAATGTTGGGGAACTTTGGGATTAAAGTACATTGTGTAGCAAGCAAATATTTGTAGTGAAAGAGGCTGGTTTACACTTCTGACACTGTGTCACTTGCCAACTTGTCCAAACCTGGCTCCCAGTATTGACAGTCTGCCATTTGCTCAGTTCCCTGAGTAAAATGAAGAATGGGGAAACTTTGCAATGCATACAATAATATTTCAGTGCTTACCTCAAGCTTAACACACTTAGTGAATGTACTAGATATGAAATGGTACATTCTGTAGCTTATCACAAAATTGCTAACAGTGTAGAACAGGGTGTCAAACTCACGTTGTCCTGCCGGCATCACATGACGTATCGAGACTTTTTCCTCCTTTGCTAAGCTGGGCGTGGGCATGGGTGTGGCCAGCACTTCACGCATTCAGCCGCAGGATGGGAATTTGACAGCTCTGGTGTAGAATCTGCAGATGGTTGAGGACAGATACTTTTGGGATAGAAGTTTTTCTCATTTAGTTTGCAGGGAAAGGGATGAGAAAGATGGTAGATGTCTACTTTTTACAGCATGAGATTTTAATTAGCAAACTCTAACCTTCTCTAGTTCTTGAACAGCAATAATTCTACAGTGAGAATGACCATTTCAACCATATAGTGTGAATGACCATTTCAACCAAATACATCAATTGGAACATAGTAGAATTTCATTTTTGTTTCCCAAATCATATATGCACTTAATATATATATATATATATATAATCCAATAATCCAAAAAGGATCTTATGATTGGGTTTACATCTTGTCAAAACAAAGGAGAGAAAAAGGAATTATTTAAAGGGATCATGAATATGGCAGTTTGGTGTAGTAGTTAAAGCACCAGCCTAAAAATTGAGACCATGAGTTCAAATTCTGCCTAAGGCATGAGGCCAGCTGTGTGACCTTGGGCTAGTCCTTCTCTTTCAGCCATAGGAAGCAGGCAGGAGGAAAACCCATGAAATCTTGCAAAATAACCAAACAAACCTGCAGGGAGTTGTCCAGGCAGTCAATACTGATATGAAGGCAAATAAATAATTATTTCCCATCACCCTTGGCCAGATCAAGCTTAATGTTTAATGATGTTTTGCTGATTCTTCCCCCAACACACAAAATGTGATCCCATTCTAAGGTTTTGAGGAGTTATCCCACTACTGAATGTTCATTCAAAAATATAAAACATATATTCACAAATATAAATAATTAGTCATTGATAACAATTATTAAATTAGTTAATTGTCACATCAGTTGGCAGTAGCTATAGTAGTCAACTTTTAGGTCAAGGGGCTTTGAGACTGTGTTGACTCCTAGCAGCTGCCTCAATGAGTCTCTCCTGTTTTCTTGCCAGTGATTTTTTTTTTTTATATTTAATTCGCCATTGTCATCTTCTTTCTAGGCTAAGAGGGAGGGACCCTCAAAGTCAGCCCATCTGGTTTCCTGTGGTGGGACTAGAGCTCATGGTCTCCATGTCTTTAGCCTGGTACCTTAAGCTAAGCAGGGCCAGCTGTGGCCAATTCTTGAACATAGGCCATCAGGTAATTTTACTATAGGTTAGCCTAGATTGTAAAACAAAACAAAACAAAACAAAAAGATCGTTCATGAAAACTCCAGAATGGATGTTGCTTGTCTTTAGTTTGAGTTTTAATTGCAGGTTAACCAGAGTGGGAGAAGAAAGTGAAACGTCAGAGAACAATTTGGAACAATAACAGTATTGTACAATTACATGTATATTCAATCAGAATTACCCATTACATTTAGAGGATATGAATGCATAAATAAGTTAATTTTGTCTAATTCTCAAAATTACAAAGCCCCATGTCAGGTAACATACTTCGGGACGTTAAACATTATTTTGTGTCAAAATTAATGTTGAGGATTATTAAAAATTATTTTGAGACTTTTATTTCTGTATTTATAATGTACATTCTCCATTATACAAACTCTAATTTCCTGAATTCAGTAAAGGTCCTTTAACTGTCATTGGAAAAACATATTGGTTATCCCATCTCCTCTAGTTTAAAACTCCAGAACTTGCAAGGCTCCCACTCAGGCCTACTGATGGACTGAATATGCCAATGCAGGTACAGAGCACCAAATTAGGAAGGGTTATTATAGTCCCTGTCTCATAATCAATCGAATGCAATGAAAAGCTTCCTAAAAGTTATGCAAATACTTGAATTACGTCCAGTTTCAAATTTATATCTTGTAATTCTACTGATTTTTGATAGATCAATAAAACCTGATCTTTAGTTTTGCTCACCTTGAAATCAATCAGTTCTAGACTTGATTTGAACAGAGCTTTTGATAATGCTGCACACGCTTGTATTTTCTCTGCAGCTTTACTTTCGTCAGAGGAAACTCTGTCTCCTGCACACCGCTTTTTTTCTGTGCAGAGTTTCTTTTGGAATAACAGATTAAGAATAACTGTAAAGTTCTTTCATAGATGGTCTCTGTCATTGTCAAAGTCGATTCCAGATTGCTGTGCTTATTCCTGAGGGTAATCAATAAATCATGTCATCACCTTCACCTCTCTCAAAGTGGTGAAAGAAAAAGCACTTCATCATCAAGGAAAAAGCATCCCTACTGCTATAAATGAAAGGAAAAATGCAGCAATCAATCCTCTAATCTGAAGCCTTAAAATTTAAACATCTTAACAAGATGTAAAGTCATGACTCAAGAGAGGGGGGTGTAATGCATACCAACACATATGGTTCCTTGATAGATAAAAGAACTCAATGCACTTGCAAGTTATCACATTACAACATACTGCTTACATTGATTGTATGTACTATGGTTTCTGCAGGAAAACTAGCAAGAATCAGGAGAAAGAAATTTGAATTTTCTCTTAAATTTTGTGGTAGAGTCCTAGATTCTGTCACTGGTGAATCCAAAACAGAACTGGGATTTGTATCTTACCATATAGAAATTTCAGAAAGGAATTTTTTAAAAAAGTATTTAGAATCTAATTTGTTTGTTGTTAAAAATCTTTAGTTTATTATGACACTCTGGCATTCCATTTGAAAGCACTCTCAAACATTGTGCTTTGCAATGTTTCTCCAATATGATTGAAATGGCAACAATGAAACTGGGAAAGATTTCTGAATAAAGGTGAACCTGACTTTGGTCAGTGGTGAGCTGCTGCATGGTTGCACGGTTCGGTCGAACCCTTAGTTGTGATCACTGGCTGGGCCCGCCAACCCATCCTTGTGCTAACCTTTCTATATATAACTAACTTTCTGGCTTGTTTCCCCTGATCACGCTGCCCAGCTGAGTTCCGCGCCACCCCTGCTGTACTCACCGTAGCTGCCTGAGTTAATTAGCTGTTTGTTTAGAGCTCTGTTTCAGTCCCAAAGGGGCGTGCATGCTCACAACCAGAAAACTGGCTGGTAACGTAAGCGCAGCCCACCTCTGACTTTGGTAGACATTTTAAGCCATAACTGTTTAAATCTCAGAAGTTCAACCATTTTGTATAGATGTTCTGATGAAATTATATGTTCCTATTTCCTATTAAGCAGTAGATTGGGACTCAGGGTGCATTATAGCTTAAAATGTTTGTTGCTTAAGATAAAAAGGCGTGGTCTTATATTGTTTGTGCAAAAATTAAGAAATTTCAATAGTAGCTATAGAGCAAAATTACAATTATATATCTGGATAACAGGTTAATGGTTGGAAGATGAGACAGATAGTTCTGTTGCCAAAAAATCCACTGAGCTCAGCACTATTGGTTCTGAAAGTAGTCCCTTATTCTGAAATTGCCAACTTATTCTACCTGTCTCAACTGACACAGTCTTCTAAAGAAGGGAACTCTCTGGCTTTTTTTATTTTAAGAAGAGGAAAAATTGATGAGTGAATGATAGGGATCCTTTACTTTTAAGAGTTTCAGAAAATAATACGTTCCTTTTTTCAGCCTTATAAATTCACATAGTGGTAAAGAAGCCTCATTCTAAATCTGAAAAGTTTGAATACTATTTCAATACATGTAATGGTTGTGATGAAATTTAATTACACTTTTGGAACTCAGAATCTTCTATTTCAGTCTGACCAGGAGTTGAGAATGCTTTTCTTATTCACAGCCTAAAATGAACATTCTTTCCCTGACCTAGGTATTGACTTTTCAAGAAGAACAAGAACTCATTTGCTTGATGAGAAGACAGACTGTGTATCTGCTGCTGTTTCTGATGAGTCTGTGGCTGGAGACAGTGGTGTATATGAAGCTTCTGTAAAACAGTAGGTTTAAAGCCAGGAATATTCCTATTTGTCAGAAAACAAAATTTACATTACATTCAAACATTTGGCTTTGCATCCTCCAGAAATTTCAAAACAAATAAAACAGATAGGGCAAGGAATAATGAAATAATGATTAATAAAATATAATTAGAAAAATTAATAAAATGATTATAATAAAAAAAATAATCAGAAAAATTAACAATCAGAAGAATAAAGAATCAGTGGAACAGATTAAGCATTCTCCTAGGTAAAAAAATAACACCTTAAAAATCTGTGTATTAATATCAACACTGGAAAACATTCTCCATAGACCTAATTTAAATTTTAAAATAGTACAATTGAAGAGTTTGAAAACTGATCAGTCCTCATTATGGAACATTCTAATATGTTTAAAAAATAATTAAATATTCAGATGATTTTTTTTAACAAGACTTTATGCAGGCATTTAAAATGGAGAGTACATGCTTTATTGAAGGACAATAACATTTTAAAAATGCACAATAATTTTATTTTATTTAAAATTTTCATTTGCCACCCATCTCATATCCAACAACTCTGGGCGGTTTATAGCATAAAGCATTAAAAAAGAAAAGATATTAAAATTAACAGTCATGGCACAGAAACAAATAAAATCATTCACCCTTGCAAACTGTTAAAATCAGAGGGGAAAGGTGGGAGCAGGACACACAAGGGATGGGGAGAGGGGATTAGATATTAATTAATCAACCATCTCCAGTATGAAGTTCCTCTACTAGGTCCCAAACCACCTGGTAGAGCAGGTCTTGAGACTCTTTCAAAATTACAGGAGGGTAGGATGTTCCAGAAGGCAGGAGCCATGACAGCAAAGGCTCTCCTCCTGGAGCCGACCAGCTGAAATTCCTTCGCTGACAGGATCTGCAGCATGCCCGCTCTGCCAGTACAGGTGGTATGGGCCAATCCCATCAGGATGAGACGGCACTTCAAGTAAGGTTAATGAACATAGCAAAAGTAATACATTAATTTAAGCAAAGAAATAGAAAACAGAAAAGTTGTTCCAGTATTGACCTAAAAATTCCAATGTAATCTTATAATCCTAGTTTAGTAATTTCAAATACATGAGATCATGTCTGTTCAAACTATTACATTTTTATTTTGTCTTTTTTCCAAATTCCATTTGTTTGTAATCAACGTATGCAAACTTGCTTCATTTTATATAGCCAAACAATATGCAGATCATGCAAATTATTATGATCTTAAAGTATGAGACCTTCAAATAAATTGCTGTTAGTAAGATAATATTTAGCATTTTACCAAAATGCATTTTACCTAAATATCACATTTCAACAGCTTCAGTATTCATGAAGAACATTCCCCACACAAATTTATTTCTGTATAGTAAAAATGAAATATATTAGCATTACAAAGAATAAAACGTTGAACAAAATTTACCAATTATGTGCTCAAGTATGTTTGACTTCAATTTCCAGTCAGCAAAAGTATTTCTATCATTGCCGTTGATCTATCTATCTTAAACTCTGTTCCCTAGACCCAATAGCAATGAAGAAGTCACATGTAGTGAAAATGATACCACAATGCTGGAAACTGCTCAAGTACAAATAGGACTCCGGTGAGTCACTACATATATTAAGATAGTTTCTACTGACCATTGTAAATATGTGGTGTCTAATGCAGGGTTTTTCCTCTCATCATCTTCTTAACAGATATGATACAAAGAGCTCAAGTTTTGTGATCGTTATAACGCAGTTACAAAATCTTCAGGCTCTTTCAATATTCCCTGGTAACAAAATGTAAGTAAAATGCTTTTTTGACAATGCTACTTTTTGAAGTCTAGGAATTCATTATTAAGCATTTGCCTTTTCAGGAAATCAAAGTGCATTTATAACACACAGGTAGCAGGGAGCATAGATATGTCAGCTTGAATCTTCTTCCATTTTCTAAGTCCTGCAAGTGTGGGCTGCTAGAATGTGCATCCAACCAACCACCTTCATCTGAATTATCAGTGCTTTCATGAGCCTATTCAACATCTGCTGCAGTGGTGGGATTCAATTTTTTTTTACTACTGGTTCTGTGGGCATGGTTTGGTGGGCGTGGCAGGGGAAGAATACTGTAAAATCTCCAGGCAGAGGTGGCATTTGCTGGTTCTCCGAACTACTCAAAATTTCCGCTACCGGTTCTCTAGAACTGGTCAGAACCTGCTGAATACCACCTCTGATCTGCTGGCTAATTGGAACACAGGATATGATTCATTCTTAGCTAGGACAGGAATGTCCCCTTTACCATTTTTATTTTATTCAAAAGATTAAAATAGAAAATACAAAAGAAAAAAAATTAAACAGAGACAAAACAAAACTGGACAAAAACATTAAAAAAATGTGGTAAAAAACCCCCAAAGACAAAAACCCATATTCCCCCCTACCCCAGTTGAACACTGACAAATCTATTATAACAATAATAGCTTCCCTCTACCTGTACAAAACAGGTCCAAAATTTATAACCTTCTACATCTATTTGAAACCCAACTGACCTGCCATATATTACATATATGAAAGAAAAAAATAGTTAACAGGTTAAACAGCAGTGAAGTTAAAGTTCAAAGCACTCTATTAACAGTTATTGTAATTTATTCATAGAAAGTCTGCACGGTTTCTTATTTACCACAAATAACTCAATTATTATCTCTGATCAGTCCAGGATCAAATACCCCTGTTTGGTTCTTAATAATGAAACCTTTCCTTAGATTTTTAATTGAGAACTTTCCCAACAATTGCATTTCATTTCCAAAGTTCATAAGTCTCTGTTATAAATATCTTTACAACATCCATTGTTGAATAATTCTTCTTGACAGGAATGAAAAGGATGGAAATTTGCCACATTAACATGTTCTTTTCTTTTTATATTTCTGGATTTTATCCACAATAGTTTTCAAGTCTTGCTTTGCTTTTATAGTTTATTCTGTAAATCATGGGTCCCCAACCCCCAGGCCACAGATCAGTATCAGTGGTCAGTAAGGAACTGGGCCACACAATCAGCGGGCATGCAAGCAAAGCTTTACCTGAGCATTGCAGGATCTAGACTGCGGGTGAAACCATCTCTTCCCCTCCAATATGTGGAAAAATTGTTTTCTACAAAATTGCTCTCTGGTGCCAGAAAAGTCTGAGAATGGCTGCTGTAAAGGATGACTGCATATCACTGAACCACACGAAAATGTATGCAGTTTCTGATTAGAAAAAAAAACCTTGACCAATTTAAGATTTTCCGTTTCCCTGAAAATCTCTTTCTTATTCTTCCTTTCAGTCTTTTTCTTCAGTCCATACAGGTAGTCCTTGACTTATGACTGATTGCTTCATGACTATTTACATTTAAGATAGCCACAGAACAAGTGGTTTATTGCTGTAAAGCACCTTCCAGATACTATAAATGATTGCACTCTCCCCTCCCTGTGATCACATATTGGATACTTGGCAAAGAGCTGGTGTGGCGTCCTGTGGTCACATGACCATAATTTGCTATGATTTTTGTAGGCTTCTGTCATTTCTACCATTTGAATGAATGGGTTTACTTAAAGACCGCCATGTTCACTTACCCAATATCATGAAATATCATGAAAACACTTCTGGTCACTTGTGAGTCTCAACTTATGAGTGTTATGAGATTATCAGATTTCCTCTCCCAAATGTAGTCATGAGTTGAAGACTCCCAGTTCCATTTCCTTATTTCCTCAAACAAATAACCTTCTCTTCCACCTTGTCTGCTGTCTGCTGTGATAAGGTTTTTAAGATTTTAGGGATGTTTCCATGCCACTTCACAGCAACTGTCAAAAGCCAGGTAGGAAGGTGTGCTTGAATCTAGCTAAATTAAAACAGAGTGAGATGGGTAAAAAACACACCAGCTTTTTAATCTTTTAAAATCATTAAGTAAAGAGCATTTTGACTTTTTGGCTTTTAATAGACTCCAAGAAATACTCTTTAAATAAAACCCATTTGATAGTGAGCAGAAAGTACTTCTCCAGAAGGAGCTGTTCTTAAACTGAACAAACTTTTGTGTTGGGTTTGAGATTTGCATGCTACCTGGAGACATTTTAAGCATTCATTGTCTGAATGTCTGAGTTGTATTTGCATTTCAAAGAAAATACAGTTTCATTTTCTCATTTGAAGAGCAAAGCATGAAATTCTGTTTTTACTAGGAGCACTTATTTCAGCCTAGATAGTTTAATCTCTACAAATATTGATAATTGTGAGAACTACTATTTACACAGCAATATAATACAGGTCTGCTCCCCAACTTCATTTCACATCGGAAAATGTTTCAGGAGCTTGAAAAAAGATAGGAAAGCCACACATCTTCATTGGCATATGTTTGATTTTGTTTTCACATTCCCTTTTTTCTTTTCAACAATAGATGAAAAGTACTCCCATATTTCTAAATTATAGCGTGGAAAGAAGTAGCCATACCTTGATGTGATGCTGACACAGCATACCTCTGTCATTTTGACAATTGGAAAAGTAAAACCATGTGTTGTCTCTCATAAAATAGACATGAATTACTTCAGACAGATAGCTCACTGCCTAATCTCTGTCTAAGAACACCCAACAAAGGGAAGCTCACCAATTCCATGAGTAATCAGTACAAGAGATGTTTCTCTTACTTGTTAGAATGTTTTTCTGACATTTAGTCAGAATCTGCCTTCATGTAATAATCAGTTCATTATTCTGTATCTTGCATCCTTTCAGTTGTCTTTTTCTCAAGTTCATTCAAACTCTCTTCATTGAACTTACCTCCCACTTGGAAGTTTGAGAGTTCAATCCTAGGTAGCAGCAATTTTTTCTCTCCTAGGGCTCAAAGAAAAAAATACCTACTGCAAACTGCATGGCATCAGGAAGGGCATCCGGCCAGTAAATGCTCAGCTCCATCCAGTCATCCTGAGTCTACCCCAAATTAAGGAATTACAGGGTTGTAAAAAGGGAGTGAGTTTTTTTTATGCTTTGGGCATTACATTTTCACTGACGCAGCCTAAAATTGTATTTGTGTTTTTTACAGCTATATCACACTGCTGGATCATCTTCAGTTTGCAGTAAACTTTTTCAGAAATTTCTGTTGCTATCCTATAAACTCTGCATTTAATTTTTGCTTTCTAATTCCAATTAAAACATATTTTTATTTTATTTAGTCAATGATCAGCAACATAAGAAAGGAAGTAAAAGACAACAATTACAACCAGGATTGACAGGGAGAATTGAATGTGATTGCTGTATATATCAGCAACTATAAAATAAATCAAGTATGATATATCTGAACATCCATATTACAATAATAATATATTTATTTACATAATAAATCTAATCTCATAAAACTATGCATTAAAATATAGGTCCTTTAAAATTATTTAGAATTTGGCTACTGTGTGAGTGGTTTCTGGATTTGGATCCTGGAGAAGATGGCGCACATAGAAATTATTTGCTCTTCCGAGAAATCTCTCTAATAGAGGGAGTATATGCATTGATCTGATGTCCCCATAGAACTCATAGCACAATAAGACAGGTCTTCAACTTTTCCATTGTCACATGTACACATTCATGTGCAATTGAGGTTTTATCATACCTGCCCTGCAGGAGTGCTGAGAGGAGAAAACATAAAGTTCCTTCATTTCCCTCAGTATTTATAGGATGCAGAGTCTTGTGCTTCCTGCAGAGATGTTGAAGTGACACAGAATACTATTGTAGCAATTCTTTGCACTATTGTTTATCCTGAGCAGTACTAACAGGAAAGGATCATTGTTAGTAGACTTGATAAGTCTTGGAAATTGTTCTGTCATGTTCCTAACCCTGGCATCTGACAGACAGAAAACTTTACAAGCCATTTGGTTGATTTGTCATACTTTTTTTTTTTTTAATTCCCTGTAGTGGTGAATTATTAAGTAATGTGACTCTTCTGGAGATTTACCCATAAACCCCCAGAGAATGTGCTTTCCTGCTGTTTTCAAAAAAGGAGGAAAGCATGTTTTGAAAACTGATTCACAATGTACCTGTTGTTGTGACTCGGGAACAAAGCTGGTAGAGCTGCTACTCTCACATAAGCATTGCTCCTATTGCTGTTGACTATGGCAGCAATGCTCTCACCTGTCAATGACTAGAGCATTGTGGAAATGAGGCAGGAACTATTCCTTCCCTTCTAATTTACAGATTCTGCTTGTTCTGTAGAAAGTCACTTGTATCTGTCAGGACCCACAACTTGCAATCAGCATTTGTGAATGTGAAATAAATAGAAACTCAAATTTAGTGTATCTGTGGAGGAAGGAAGAAGCTTATATTTCCTGCCTGTTGTCTCCCATCATTTTCTCTTCCTTAAATGGGAAAAATATTTTTATGTCATTTCTAAATAAGTATATTGCATAACATAATATGGAAAGACGCTTTACAGTGAATTTAAGTTATCTTTCTGTTATTTTTCTTCTTATCTTTAGATATTTTAGACTTGCACTTCTTCCACCTTCAACTGACATCAGCTGTCTATTCCGTACAAAGTTCCATCCTGCTACTGAACCTCTTTTATTTAGTGAGATGTTCAGAACAGTTCTTTCCCAGGCAGTCTTGCAGAAAAAAACTTTGAGAGTAGATATCTGCTCTGTCAGTAAAAGTCACCAAGAAGAATGTCTAGTAAGTATCATTTAATATGATAAATGGTTTTATTTTGATCTTTTTCACCCTTCTTGTGAATGTATAAGAGTCTTTTGAGCAATGTATTAACAATCTTTATAGGTCTGGCCATAGTCACCTTTGATCTTAAGTGATTCTTCTTGCCACTTTCATGAGAACTACACTTCCTAAAGATTTAAATAGCAAGGCCCTAGTGCAAATATTTCAGCAGGGTGGTTTAAATGTGATTTCCCTCACTTGCAGTTCATGTTTTGTTTCCTATGCTATGTTTTGCGCTGTTCCTAGGCCTGTGCTCTGGGCTGGACTAGAAGCTACAGCTAATCTAATATATAGAAGCTCAACTGCTGATTAGAATACTGTAGATACATCACACCTATACCAAAACATCTGCATTACCTGTCGTTCTCCTACCAAATAGATTCAAGATGACGAAATTAGTATTAGTCCTAAAAAGGGAGCATGTTGTCTTAGCATCTTCATGTATGTAATATTCCTGGTACTTAATGTTCTTGAGGCAAGGTCATGCATTCTGTACCATACGTGGCATAAGTAAATCTCAGCAGTCCTCTGCAGAACATCACTCCAGTGCAGCCATTTAGGTACTTCTTTAAAAATCTATTCTTTTTTTTTAGGGAGCTTTTCACCAACCAACTTGCTTTTATTAATATTTTTAGTCCTTTTAATAACTAGTGTTCTAGCACTTTTTAGTAGCATTAACTCTTTCTGGTATTAATGCAAATGAGAAATGGCATACAAATATTTAAACAAATAGAAATAATTGAATTTACTTTCCTTGCCCCATTTACTTGAGAGGCTAAATGCTTGAATAGTTTTTCACACTCAAGATAATGAAGGAAGCACTTCTGATGCCACTGCAGAGAAAAACTGCAAGGCTTTGCTTGTTATAGTTTCATTTAAATGAGGAAAGGGAGAAGATAAATATATTTTTTCTGTGGGTTTTATGATGATGCAATTTCCTGGGTTAATATTTATTGTGGTTAACCTTTTCAAAGAGCAGTCAGGACATACAATTTGGCCAATTGAATGTCTATAACTTCCATCCATCCATAACTGTGCTTAATTTATTTGAAAGGTTTTGCAGTGACTTTGGTCCATGGAAACTATGGTTACTATTTTTGACAAGTGGTCTTTCAACCAAATATTAGCCAGGAAATTTAACAATCCCATGCTTGGGATTTCTCATGTGAGGGCATTGAGCCTAGGACCTCATTTATGCAAAACTTGTATCTGACTTCAGTGGCAAAGGTGCATCCAGCGAAAATGTTCTACTTCTTGTACATAATATTATCATACTTAGAAGCAGACTTGCTATTTTGCTTAGAATAGAATTATTCCTACCTGTAATTGATTGTAAAATGGAAGTGTAATGATTAATAATTTCAGACATAGGCAATATAAATTGATGGTGTCCAAAGCATTTTTATATAATAAAGCTAACAAAAACTCTAGATATGAGCTTAAATTTTCTTTTCTTGCATATAAAGCCACTTTTTTTCCTCATGAATAAGATGGACTGAGGCCAACTGTATTTTGCCTCAGGCATTAACCTAGCCAGTGCTTTCTCCTGCATCGATCTATTGCACTGATTAGATTTATAGTGTATAACTCTCTTTTCTTTTTGGATATGTATTGTATGTCTGATCTGTAATTAATCAAATGATCTGTTTATTTTTGATTTAAATAAACCTCTTAAACTTCCCTTTTAATTCAGATTGAGCAACAAGTAAGAACAAAAACAAAAAATTTACCAAATAAATTCGCAGGACAAATAATAATATCATAATCTTTTCTGTTTTCATGTGTAACTCCTGACTACTCTCTTGGCACTTTAATGCTTTACATCCTTTTATCTTACAAGCCAAGGACTCTTGTGCCCTTAATCCCTCAAGATTTATCATGAACCAGAATTACTTTAACACTTGTGCCAACTGCTCCAAGTAAATTCCATTCATCTTCCCTCTTTCTTTATCTTTGTGCTTTCCCTTCACTTTTCATTTTAAAACATGTTTCTGAAATTTCCCTCTTGAGAGATAGATGAATCCTATTCATCAGGCTTTTATAGAATGGGTACCTCACATATTGCATTATAACCATAATAGAAAAGATCACTCTGCATCACGTGGAAAGTCTTCCTTACCTAATACTTATAAAACTTAGTTGCATTGTTATTTGACTTCAGTTGTAATATTAGTCTTAAATGCTATATTTTAATGCAAAAGATATAAATATATAATTGATGTTTTAAATAATTCTAATGTAAAAAGGCTTTGGAGAATAATTTTTGATTGCTGAAGCAAACATTTTAATGGTATCATTTGTTTTTACATATCTTAAAATTCTGTAACAAATATACATTGTTTTGTAGGGTGGAATCCAGATAAGTCTCGGAGATGTGTCCTTTTCAAATGAGCTATCTACTCTGTGGTATAATTTGCTATCTTCTAAACTCACTGCTGGAAAAAGGCATGTGAAACCAAAGAAGTATTCAGTCTTTGTGGCAGCCAATCCATCACCTGGTTCCTTGGTAAGCTGATTGCTAGAAAAAACAGTGGCACCAGTTAAATAGTTGTGCTACATTATTATGTATAGCCTCAGTTGCTATATGTCTCATTATCATAAATAGAAGTATAATTAGGCTTCCAGTTGACTTTTTCTGCTTGCAGCAATGGCTAAACAAACAATGAACGTTATAAATGAATTGCTAAATCTTGATTATGAGAAAAGCAATAAGCCAGAGTTCCTTGTCAGAATGTATTGCTAAAAAACAGAAGCAAATGCAGTCAAGCTTATGTACAACTTCTTCATTATAAGGAACAGCATGCTTACCCTAACATTCAAACATTATTTGTTGAAGTACAAGGGAATCAAGTGTAAAATGCATATTGCCACGTTAAACTTCTTTTGTCAGTAGTTTGCTCACTTGTGTAATAAAATGATTAAGGGGTTTGAGAGGACTGGAGAAACTCAGATTCTTAAATATCTTCATAAACGATCCAGTTGTGGGTCTAGAAGGGGAATTCATAAAAAAATTGGAGATGACACTAAGCTGGCAGAAATAGCCAACACACCAGAAGACAAGCTCAAGATCAAAGATCTTGACAGGCTTGAACACTGGTCCCTATATAACAAAATAAAATTCAGCATAGATAAAAGTAAGGTTCTACACTTAGGTAAGAAAAACCAACTGTAGAGATAAAGGTTAGGTGAAACTTAGTGCCAATAATTTTGAGAGGGATCTTGGACAGTCATTTAAATATGAGCCAGCAGTATTATGCAACAGCCAAAAAAGCCAATGCAATCCTACTCTCGATCCTTTCCAACTCTGGAAAAAGTTGGGTATATTTAGTCTAATGAAAAGAAGGACTAGGGGAGATATGATAGCAATGTTCCAAGATTTGAGGGTGTCAAACTATTTTCCAAAGCGCCAAAAGACAAGACTAGAAACAGTGGATGAAAACTAAGGAGAAGCAACATAGAACTAAGGAGAAATTTCCTAACGGTGAGAGCAATCAACCAATACAGCAACCAGCCTTCAGAAATTGTGGGTGCTCCATCACTGGAGGCTTTCAGAAAGAGACTGGACAATCATTTACCTGAAATGGTAACTAAATGGTAACTAATTTAACTAGAAGACCTCCAAGGTCCCTTCCAACTCTATTATTCTATGTTCTATGTTTCGTTGTGGGAAAACATTGGAGGAAGGAATGCTGTGTATACCACTGTGAGTTCCTAGAGGAAAGATGAAATATCAATCACTCAAATAAATCAATAAATGAAGAGTAGTGAAATATAACAGATTACAGATAATCAGAGTTGGAAGGGATCTTGTAGGTCATCTAGTCCAACCCCTCCGCCCAAGCGGGAGACCCTACACCATTTCTGACAAATGGCAGTCCAATCTCTTCTTGAAGTCTCAAGTGATGACACTCCCACAACTTCCGAGGGCAAGCTGTTCCATTGGTTGATTGTTCTCACTGTCAGAAAGTTTCTCCTTATTTCCAGGTTAAATCTCTCCTTGTTCAATTTCTATCCATTATTCCTTGTCTGGCCTACAGGTGCTTTAGAAAAAAGCTTGATCCCCTCCTCTCTGTGGCAACCCCTCAAATATTGGAAGACTGCAATCATGTCTCCCCTGGTCCTTCTCTTCACTAGAGTAGCCATGCCCAATTCCTGTAACTGTTCTTCATATGTTTTAGTCTCCAATCTTCTAATCATCCTGGTTGCTCTTCTCTGCACTTTTTCTAGAGTCTCAACATCTTTTTTATAATGTGGTGAACAAAACTGGATGCAGTACTCTAGGTGAGCCTTACTAAAGCTTTATAGAGTGGTATTAGTACCTCACTTGATCTCGATTATCCCTCTGTTAATGCAACTTAGGATTGTATTAGCTTTTTTGGCTGCTGCTGCACACTGCTGGCTCATATTTAGCTGGTTGTCCATTAAGACTTCAAGATCCTTCTCACAGTTACTGCTATTGAGCCTGGTTTCACCCAGTCTATATGTGTACTTTTGTTTTTTCTTGCCTAAGTGTAGGACTTTACTTTTCTCTACATTGAATTTCATTTTGTTAGATACAGCCCAGTGTTCTAGCCTGTCAAGATCCATCTGGATCTTGAGCCTATATTCTTGGGTGTTAGCTATTCCTGCCAGCTTCGTATCATCTGCAAATTTGGTAAGTTCCCCTTCTATTCCCTCATCTAAGTCGTTAATGAAGATATTGAAGAGTACTGGGCCTAAGACGGAACCTTGTGGCACCCCACTGCTTACTTCCCTCCATGTAGACTTAGACCCATTAAGGACTACTCATTGAGTATGGTTTGTCAGCCAGTTGTGAATCCATCTGGTGGTGATGCTATCTATTCCACTTTTTTCTAGTATACCAAGAAGTAGGTTGTGGTCTACTTTGTTGAATGCCTTGCTGAAATCTAAATATATTATGTCCACAGTATTTTGCTGGTCTACTAATTTAGTCACTATGTTGAAGAATAACTTCTCTTCCTAAATGCTATTTTTCTGCTGGCAAGCAGCTGATTATTTTTTTCACAGAATGTAATATTCATAAGTGTTTATGGTCTACTCTATTTTCCCCATTTTAATTTCATTATACTTGAGTACCTATTCCAAACAACTAAATGTAGGTTAATATAGTACTTCATTTACACCAGACTTCAAATCAGTGAATATATTTTTCTGTTTCCTTTGAATGATAGTGAGTGAAAACAAAACATTGTTTTAATGAATGTACATGCAAAATCTAGGGTATATGAATCTCATAATATAGATAATTCCCAGTTTTAAACTGGAAAATCAATTGAAAGATCTGGATTAATGATTTGTAAGTGTCAGAGACCAAATATAACTTGTTGCTTTTGCCTACAAATTGTGAATTAAAACTTAGTCTTTAGTGATCTGCATGTCAGTATTTTTGTTGTCTTGTCTATGTCATTTTTGAAAAGAATTTTATTTATTATATTCAAATATAAAGTTTTGTTATAGGTCTGATTTTCACAATATATGTAATGAATTCTAAGATGATGTCATGCAGCAATTCAAGGTTTAAATCAGTCTTGAGCGTTTCATGATGTAATCCACTCTTTGTAAATACTTGTGTCCCTGTTAAATTTAATCTGAAAGGTTTCAGCAGCTTTGTGATTTTCTGGGCTCAGTCCATGCACATAATCATTACAGACCAGGTGTATTACTGGCATTACTTCTTACATATTTTAGTACAAGTAGAGCTGCTTTCCATGTCTTTGTTAGGATGCGGTCTCAGCATTGTTGGAAAGGACATCAGTTGAGCTGCAAGCTGTAGAACAAGAATTGGCAGAGAAAGAAGAGGAGGAAGGGGAAGAGGAGGAAGAGGAGGAGGAGGAGGAGGAGGAGGTGGAAGATGAGGAAACACAGGATACCCAGGAAACACAAAGTTCTGAGGAAGATTGGTAAGCTGAACTCTTTATTTATTGGTTATTCACAAAATAGCATTTAAAAATACGAGGCATAAAAAAGAAAAATACAGAAAATGCTGCTTGTTCTCCACAGCAAGTAGGTAAGAAAAATAGGAAGAAAACCTATTATTCCTTAGGCAATTTAGGGAGTAATATTTTTTTCTGCTGTTTTGTTCAGTGACAGAAACACAACACAAATATTATAGGGAAAGCAACAATAAAAATGCATCTTGGAGAATGGAGCCATGTTGTTGTCCCCAATTCAATGTGTGGGTTCTGTGTTCAAAAGGATACAGCCTGGTGAATATGCATAATCATTCTTCTTAAATAGGAGCCCAGAAAGTAAGGAGAGAATGCGTCTAGCTAGAAAAATATAGATGATATGCAAAAAGTATGAACTGGGGATGTATCCTATCTACATTTTGCTTTTGCTTTTGTTATCATGAGAGCAGTCCTTCCTCTATTTTTGATCAGAACAAAGATTCATATAACATCTTACTTCTGGTAAGTTTAAGCTGGGCATGAAGGCAATCAATTTTTCTTGCCTCTTCTCTTCTAAGAAATACTTATTGGCAGCATTTGTCCCTGAAAATGTGAATCACTTGTTTCTAAGCAGCCTTTTGTTAACCACTATTTGGAAACATATAATCCAATATGTGTCAATATACTTGAATTAACAAGTTTTTATACAGAAACATCCTAGCTTTTTTTTTTTTTTTCAAATTTATCATGTGGAGAATTAACTGTGTTTTTTTTAATACAGGTGCATGCAAAACTTTAAGCCACTTTGGTCAAAATGTATGTTTTAATGAATCCCTAAGTGAAAAAAAGCTGCCATAATCTCAACATGATATCATTCTTCAAATTTCAATGCATTCCTACCATTTGTATGCTGCATATTCAGAGTAAGAAAAAAAGATATGTGACAGGTGTAGATGTTTCATTAATAGTTGATTCAATTTTTGGATCATTTTACTATAAAGTTTTTGAAGGTGATTGACTTATTGGGCTATAATTAGCTGGGTGAGATATTTCCATAGATGAATGGTTGCTCTGACTTTCTATCCACTCAGAATATTGTTGTTATTTTATCTATTTTCAATATCCATGGTCTCTGTTAGATATTTACATATATGCCCTGATTGGTTGGCCTGTGGCAGCGGGAAATTGAAGAGCTGTCACTGGTTGCAGCCGCAGCAGCCTGGAGTAAAAAAGGAGCTGCCGTGGCTGCTGTTCTTTGTTCTGAACAATGTAATAAAGAAACTTAAATGATCGGAGCCTCCCGCGTTTTTTCTCGCCCACATCTAACACTAGCGATGAGGATGGGATCCTAAGAGAAGCGGGAGTGCAACAACTTGGCTAGCTAACCGGACAAAGAACTCAACATGGCAGGGAACAATACACCACCTGCAACATTCGACCTGACAACCAAGGACTGGGAATCCTATGTCGATCGTTTCCAGATGTTCCTAGAGATCAGCGATCTGGTAAATATTACGGAACAGAGGAAAAGAGCAGTTTTCCTCACGCATTGTGTCCCCACCGTATTCAAAATGGCTAAAGCCCTCACAGCCCCAAGTGATGTAAAGATGATGGCCTGGCCAGATCTAGAAAGAATTCTGAGGGCACATTACACTCCCCCTGTATCCAGCCTGGTCAAAAGACACGAGTTCTACAGGAGAGATCAGAAGGAAGGAGAGAATATCAATGATTTCATCGCTAATCTGAGGGACATTGCCAGGACATGTGAATTCCTGAATGTGGATGAGGCAATGAGGGATCGTGTAGTCCTGGGACTGAGAGACCTAAGATTACAGAGCTGGCTTCTAACAAAACCAAAAATAACACTAAAGGAGGCCATTGAGGAAGCAGCAACAGTAGGAGCGTCGCAGAAGTCTGCCGCAGCTATGAGGAAAATGAATAAGAATCAACAACCCCCTCCCCAAAAGGACACCACGAGGACCTTGAATCTGGGTCGGGGTCAGCAGACAATGAAGAAGTGAATCAACTTCACCCTGAACAGCACCAGAAAAGTTGAGAAAGTATGGGTTGTATGGGTTGTGAAAGAAATCACCCTAGATTGGAATGCCAGTTCAGAGAGGCTATTTGCCAATGCTGCGAGTGGAAGGAGCACATCGCAAGAGCATGCTGAGCATTCAAGCCAAACAACCGAAGACCAAGACAAGGTACTCCCCCAAGAAATCGGGAAAATCAAACTGAAAACCGTGGGGGTCAAAATAACAGAAATTGATGGAATCACAAGCCAAGCACAAAGAGAAGTGAAATGCACTGGATGGTAATTGTGGGCCACTCAAGCATGCCAAATGCCAAGAAAGTACATGTTCACATCACAATAGAAGGTGAACCATGTAAAATGGAAGTGGATTCTGGATCTCTTCTATCAATGGTGTCGTGGGACACCATCAAAAGAATATTTCCCCAACTGACAAAAATACAACTGAAGAAACAAAAAATAACCCTAAAAGACTATCAAGGGAACAAGATTCCAGTCATTGGCATTGGAGAATTCAGAGTATCCTTCCAAAATTACTCTGGGATCCTGCCTTTAACCGTGGTCGACAGGGACTGGCCAAGTCTGCTGGGGCTCGAATGGTTCAAGCCATTGGGAATTGAATTCACCGGCATCCACAGCATCACTGATGTGAGTGGGAAGACCAACTGATAGAGAAATTCCGGGACGTTTTTGACGGAAAACTAGGCAAGTACTTGGGGTCCCCTATTTCTTTTAATTTAGACCCAAATATTGCCTCTATCAGACTAAAAGCAAGGTGGGTTCCATTCACAATTAAACCAAAAATAGACGAGCAGTTAGACAAGCTCATTTCCCAAGGGATTCTAGAACTCATAGATCATGTGAAGTGGGAAACCCCAATAGTCACCCCTATAAAGCCAGATAGATCCTTAACCTTAACTGCGCAACCCTTAACCGTGCTTTACAGCAGAGTGCGTACCCCGTCCCATTGGTGCAACACCTTTTGCACTCCTTGGGGCGGTGAAAGATATTCACAAAGTTAGATCTTGCACAAGCCTACCAGCAATTACCGGTAGACGCTGAAACGGCGGAAGCACGGACAATTGTGAAACACAGAGGGGCTTTTAAATGTAACCGTTTGCAATTTGGGATGAACGTTGCCCCAGGACTATTCCAGAGCCTTGTGGAATGCTTACTACATGGACTAAAGGGGGTGGTGCCTTATTTTGATGATGTCCTCATCTCAGCCGAGAACAAAGAGCAATTACAGGATTGTTTGAGGGAAGTTCTCAACTGTTTCAAGGAGGTGGGGCTTAAAGTAAAAAAAAAGAAAAATGCCAGCTAGCAGCTGATAGGGTGGAATTCCTGGGGTTTTCAATAGATGGCATCCACCCCACGGACAGTAAAGCCAAAGCAATCAAGGATGCCCCCAGACCAAACGGTAAAACTGAATTACAAGCTTTCCTGGGGCTGATTAACTTTTACCAAATATTCTTACCACAGAAGGCAACTGTGGCAAAACCACTCCACAGACTGCTTGACAAGAAAGCAGCCTGGGTTTGGGGGACATAGAGAAGAGGCAGCATTCAAAGAAATAAATAACTTAATTACATCAGAACGTGTACTGATTCAATATAATGAGACTTTACCGATAATTTGCAATGCATCACCATTTGGGGTGGGCGTGATACTCAGCCACCTTTTGCCAAACAGAAAGGAAGACCCAATAGCATTTTATTCAAAGACATTATCGAAACCTGAACGGAATTATAGCCAACTAGACAAAGAAGTGTTAGCTGTGGTCACTGGAATCAAGCGATTCCACGAAGACATATATAGATGGAAGTTCACATTGGTCACAGGCCACAAACCCCTTTTGGGCATCATCGTGGGGGATAGAGCCACCCCGAACATCGTGTCCCCAGAATGACTCGTTGGATAGAATTCTTATCTGCATATGATTACAACTTGATCTATAGACCAGGAAAAGAGATTAATCATGCAGATGGATTAAGCAGATGTTCCCTGCCCATCGAGGATGAGGATCCAGCACCAGCCACCACTACACTCCTGATAGAGACAGTTCAATGAACGCCAGTCACAGCAGCTGATATCGCGAGAGCAACAGCGAAAGACAGAACTCTGTCATGCTTTTTGGACTGGGTAGGGAGGGGGTAGCCTGAACAGGAACAAACCGAAGAAACTAAACCTTTCAAAAACAGACAAACTGAATTATCCATACTGAAAGGTTGTGCATTGTGGGGTGATCAAGTTATAATTCCAGCCATTTTAAGGGATGATATAATGGAGATGTTGCATGCAGGACATCCAGGGATAGTTAAAATGAAATCATCAGCAAGGAGCTATGTGTGGTGGCCAGGGATGGATAAAGAAATAGAGGCCTGCATCTCCGCCTGCCAGAATTGTCAGGAGAACAGACCAGCACTACCCATAGCACCCAAACATGAGTGGGAATCACCCAGGGGACCACCCTGGTCAAGAATACATATCGATTTTGCAGGACCAGTAAGGGGACACACGTTTCTTATCATTGTGGATGCATATTCTAAATGGCTGGAAGTCAGCATCATGCAGTCCATAACAACAGAGGCAGTAATAAGAACCCTAAGGAAACTATTTGCTACACACAGCCTTCCAGATGTAATAGTATCCGACAATGACCCTCAATTCACAACCACACAGTTTGAGGAATTCCTAGCACAAAATGGGATACGACATGCCCTCTCGGCACCTGGACATGCATCCACGAATGGATTGGCTGAGCAGATGGTCTGGCACATGAAAGAAACACTTCAGAAACTAGGGCCAGGGGATGTGCAAGCAAAAGTAGATAAGTTATTAAGTATACAGCACATAACACCTAGCGCATCAACAAATAAAAGCCTCGCGGAACTTCTTATGGGAAGGAAACTGAGATCACAATTAGACAGAGTACACCCCAATTACACACCAGAAAGACTACTAGATTCATCCAGCAAATGCCGAAATTTCAAAACGGGTGACTCAGTATACGCTAAAAATCTAATGGGTACCATTATGGGTACCGGCAATGGTGGTACAAGTAACAGGGCCTCGTTCATACAGAGTCGAGACAATTGAAGGCAGAAGTTGGAGAAGACACATTGATCAACTACGGAGCCAGGGGACAAAGGGAACAAATAGGGAGGAAGGGGGAGACCCTTCACACATGTACATTACAAACAGAGAAGAAGGGGAGACCCTTCACACTCAGCCAACAATAACAGAGGAAGGGGAACACCCCAACCACCCAGACCACATAAGGAATAACATAGAACAGGCCCTAACAACTACACAACCTCAACAATTAGGAATAGCTCTGGAAGAACCAAACGGAAGTAGCGGACACTCACCAGACACACATAGGCAGCAACAAACCAAGGAAGGAAGCGACATCTAATAGAAGTAGAAAGGCTGCCATGACAAGAAAATTCGAGGAGGTTCCACGTGGGGGAACAGGAGAGGTGATAATCCCAACTGAGCAGCTTGGAGACCAACCCATGACTGAGCTGCACAGGTCTGGTTGCACCCATAAGAGTCCCGCCTACTTATGTGATTATGTACAGTAGGTGGAACAGGATTGGGTGAGCTGGACCAGGTGGGGAGAGGTGTTAGATATTTACATATATGCCCTGATTGGTTGGCCCGTGGCAGTGGGAAATTGAAGAGCTGTCACTGGTTGCAGCCTCAGCAGCCTGGGGTAAAAAAAAGGAGCTGCCGCAACTGCTGTTCTTTGTTCTGAACAATGTAATAAAGAAACTTAAATGATCGGAGCCTCCCGCATTTTCTCTCCCCCACAATCTAACAGTCTCCACTGTGACTATGTGAAGGTGCTATATCTATCTCCAGAAGTAACCATGAATATCAAATTTACATTTAATTTTATGATGTTCTAACTCAGTAAATTTATAACAGATCCTTCTGCTTTTTCCAAAGAAGAGAATATTGAAACCATAGAAATGTTTCAGGAAAAGTTTACCTCTGGCCAACATAAGTTGTTGATAATGACACATTAATTGTATGAATATTAGGTTCCAAATATGCTGGTATTTTATTTTGCAAATACCTTAGTAAATTAAGGGTAGATTTGTTCTTACAGGGTAGGAATACTGGCAGAAGTATCCAGAGAAATGAATGAAGAGGAGAATAAAATTAAAGAGACCAAAGAAGACAAATGCACAGATAGCAGGAGAATGAGCTTTAATTTGGAACAGGCAGGTGGTACTGAATATGAGAAAGACAGTAACTTTACAGAAGTGGATCTCAACAAAAAAACAATAGTGTCCCCAATACTGGTGAGTATTTTAAATTATATTTTCTATATTGCCCAGAATGCCTTTTGTAGCTGAGCCATAATATTTGTCATCGCAAACTTCTCAAAAAGTTTTCAGTTAAATTTACAAACTTAGTATAGCATTTAATATATGTAGTGATTTTGAGTCGGTACTTTACAGACTTGGAAATGTTTTTGTTGCATAGTACAAAAAAGAGAAACAACAAGGAAAAAAAGTCCTTAGAGCAGCCACAGAAAAATATTTAGCTTGCTAGTTAACATTTAATGCTTATTTGTTCGATAATTCATGTTTAATAATGGATGTTTTAAATATTTAATAAGTTATTTAATGTTTAAATTATACTAGCATACACACTTAATATTTTTATTTTTGCAACTGTTTTGAAGTTTTAATAACAAGGGCCAAGCTCTTAAAAACAGTGCTGGGGGCGGGGGTGGTTATATATATGATGAATGGATGAATCAGTTCATTTTCAGTGCATGAACTATAAATTTTGTTCATTTGTAAATCTGTTATGCCCTACTCCCTCTTTAAAGTGAATTTTTTTAAAAAAAATCATATAAAAATCTGTATTTAAATATTTACATTTGGCTACATTTTTCTAAAAAAAAAAACACCCCATATTTTATATGATTTGTGATTTTTTTAAGCCTGGAATTTAGACTGCAATACAACATTTAGAAAATTATGGAAATTGAAATTCACCAGAAAGTGTGAATTATTTTGTTTCTCTTCCAATGTACGTTGTTCAGGCATTCAGTATGCTAGAAGCCTAAATACTGATATTTAATCCAAGAAACATATTACAGGAAGTCTTTGACTTGTGATCATAACTGGGACTAGAATTTCTGTTGCTAAACAAGGCACTGTTTAAGTGAGTCGTGCCCAATTTTATGATCTTTTTTGCCATCGTTGTTAAGTGAATCATTGCAGTTAAGTAAATCATGCAAGAGACTCTGGCTTCCCCCATTGACTTTGCTTGTCAGAAACTGGCTTGGAAAGCCGTAACTGAGGATCACATGGCTCCAGGATTCTGTCATATATAAATACGGGTTGCCAAGTATCCAAATGTCAGTTACATAACCATGAGAATGCTGTGATGACTGTAGGTATGAGGACCAGTTGTAAGTCACTTTTTCAATGCTGTTATAACTTTGAGCAGTCACTAAACAAGTGATTGTAAGTTGAGGACTATCTGTAAAAAAATTAACAAGTTGCTTTTAATTTAATAAGTCTGCCTACCCAGTTAAACAATATATATGCATTTTTTAAAAAAATATTTATAGAATAACTATTACTGGCAGACACCATTATAGGAACAGATCTTCCCTTCTCTTAAATAAGGGAATAATTTCTAAGATGGTGCCTGGCTGGAAATACTAGAAACTACAATTTCAATACATCAAGATTCAGTGAAGTATAATTGTTAAGACATTGGATTTGGAATAGGGAAACTAGGAAACTGGATCTCCACTTCCCACTCCTCAAATGTCTTATTATTACAGCCTCCCTACAGTCACATGATCAAAATTCAATTGTCATAAACATATGTTTGGCAACTAGCACATTCATGACAATTACAGGGATCATGTGATCACCATTTGTGACCTTTCCGGGTGTTTCTGATAAGCGAAGTCAATGAAGTAAAATGTATTTGCTTTTTGATTGCATGGTTTGCTTAAAGATCATGGTGATTTATTTAATGATCATGGCAAAAAAAATTTGTGAACTTGGGCATGACTCACTTAACAACGAACAGCTCTTAGAAACAGAAGTTCTGGTCCCAATTGTGGCTGTATGTCGAGGACCACTTGTATAATGGGAAACACTTGAAAAGTTTAGAAGTCTAATTCAACAATTGAAATTAGTTTAGTCAAGTTTTTTTCTTTGGGAAAGGCAGTAGTCAAAAATAGAGTTCAAGTATTCATACAAAAGTCCTATATTCAGTCCATGTCCAACTAGTGAAGATTCTTCATGAAACCCTGGATAGCCATTGCCAGTTAAGATGAAAACCACACGGTCCCAGCCATTATGTCAATGACAAGAAATGTTGGAAATTGTAGTTCAACAGCAGGATGCCATACTATGATGCTGAATGAGACAGGTTCATTGCTTTCTATGTTTTTATGTGTTAATTGCTATTTTGCCAGTATAATTTCATCACTTCCGAATAAGACAATGACATTCCTAAATGTGCAATAGCAATCACCATTTAAAAGAAAACCTTGTTTTAATTTTAAATAGACAAGAGATTTGTTTGATTAGAATAAATTCATTCTAGGAATCCTGAAAAGAATATTTTCTAGTATATGGTGCTTTAGCTAGTAAAATATACAATGTGTCCCAGATAAAAGAAAGGTTTTTGTGGAGCAGTAAATGCATGTCTACTTTTTATTTCTTAAGAAATTAATGTATTTTGAGCCTTGGGGTTTTTTGGCTTGAATTTAGCTTATTTGTGTCATAACGGCACAAATTGATATAACTTAAGCAGATTTTGGTTTTCAGTATTCAAAATGATGTATAATATATCCACAGGTTGATAGAGAAACAAATACAGAAGGTAGGCTTGAGTATGTAGCTATACAACCCAAGGACAAAGCCAGCCTGAAGTCTCAACAGCATCCTTTTGTCAGAAACAGCATGATAGTACGTTCACAGACGTTCTCTCCAGGCGAGCGGAACCAGTACATCTGTAGGGTAAGATAAAGAGTGTTCTCAATGAACTCTTGCTAACTAAAGACTCATTTAATTTCTTTGGCAGTGGCTCATTGCTGGCAGTGGGCCACCTCTACAGAACTTAGTGTCCATCTGCCAGCTGTGAGGCTATGAAAATTATTGCTTTCACCTATAAAATAATGTGTAACTTTACACATGGATGTTAGCATTAATCTTTTTGTATTAAGCTAGAATAAAGTTGTCGCAATTAACATTCCTTCACTTCCCCCCCCCTTCCACTTACTGACATGCAAACACATGGTTTGAACAGGATGCTAAGGCATGAATTGTTTAACCATGATTTACTGAAGACAATCGCAATTGACTGTGTTTGCACCATATGCTACATTTAGTGGAATATATGAACCCAGTCATTCTTTCTCAATAGTCATGTGTAGAATTGGCTTGCAGATGCCAAAAATAATTTTTTCATGTTTTTTTTTTTACTGTTGATATCCATTTTAGTGCAAATATTTATATTCATTCAGCTGTTATATGACATTTTTAGCAGCATGGAATTTTTGAATTATGATTTGCAAAATGAAAGTAGCCCTTAATTTTAAGAATACGTTCCCAAAGAAAGAAGGAAGAAGGTTCAACAGATTGGAATCTATCTGCTTTTTAATTTCATGACAAAAATGAAATACTTGAAATAAAGTTGCTGTGTGCATGTGAAATCTAAAACAATATGCTCACAAGACAAGGACAAAATATCAAAAACTCTGTGCTGCATATGAGTCACCAACTAATCTGCTTTTCAGTATTTTCAACATTTATTTGCCCTCCAATGCAAAAGACCGTTCTTCATTGTAGTCTCTGTGAATCATTCCTATTGGTATCTGGCCTTGCACAGTGCTCTTTTGAGAATTTTCTAAAGCTGAAAGAGACTTGTGTATTTGTCTTCCATTGTCCTTGCAGTTTATCTTTGACTGCAGTAGTGGTGCCCCTCCAGGAGTTCTCTGACACTGTGACAGCAATTTTTTCTCTTGATACACACATCTACTTAAAGGAAACCATGTGATCAAGACTTGACTCTCCTCCTCCAGCTGTTACAAAACAGAATGGGAGGAATTGATCGTTTCCTGATAGGGCTTCATAGTAGAATGAATTCTTCCATCCAAACTCCCTCCAGTACCAGGATGATCGATCAATCTCAACCAAGATCTGTAAAAATAAAAAAACTCAAATGTAAGAAGAAAAAGACAATCAAGGACAATCACTTTGTATGGTCCAATTCATCATTTCCTTCATTTTTAAGTCAGGAAACCAATCATGTCCATTGGTAAAGATTTTCTGTATCAGCCTCCTGCCTCCTTTTATGTGCGCTTTCATTTATTTAATAATGGGGGAGTCCTTGTTACACAAAACCTCTTTTTCCTCTCAGATCACTCACCCATTTTATTCCATACTGGGATTTATCTGGTCTACGTTCATACCAATCAGTCCAGCTGAAAAATAAAATTACTAATGACAATACTCACTGCATATATCATCTCTTTGGGCCATGTCAATCCTAGATCATACCCTTGAAAGTAGGATGCCACATTGTTGTCATTAATAACACACAAAAACCTAGTACTGTTAACAGCATCTGCCTCATTAAAAATCAAGAAGCGAATATTTTTGTGTATATTAAGTTATTGGTGTTTGAACTGTAACGTTTTATCAGTATTGCATTAATTACTTCTTATGCAAAACCGTAGTCAAATCCAACAGAATATGCAATGGTTACTTTTGTTAGTTACACCAGTAGCTTTTTTATTTTAGCTCTACCCACTCTGTTTCAATTACTGTCTGTACTATTTTAACAGTTGAACAGAAGCGATAGCGATAGCTCAACATTGGCCAAAAGAACTCTCTTTGTGAGAAATTCCTCAGAAAGGCGGAGCTTGAGAGTCAAAAGGGTAGGTGTTGTTTCACCATTTATTGCTCATTTATTTATTATTCTCAAATATATTCAAACATATAATAAAGGTTTATTTGTAAATCTAATTGCTCTGCATATTACACAGATTGGTATGCATGCATGTATAATCTCTTATTGAAGATGTAGACCGTTATCTTGCCTCTTCTCTTATTCCAAGGTTGTATTCTGTTAAACAAAAAACAAAGATTTATTTCTTTGAGAACAAGAAGTAGCAAAAAAAGTTTTTTGATGTTGCATTTCTACTTTTCTCAGAACTTTCATAGTAAAACGGTGGATATCTAAAGGATTTTTCCAGGGTAGGAGTTAGGCTGCAATATAGGGTATAATCATAACTTGTGGTTAGTTATCCACAATATACTTTCCAATTGTTTTTGTATGTGGACATTTTTCTGGCAATCTTTTTCATACATTTGACAATGCCACCCAATTTGTCAAGAAAAACCTGGGACTTGGACACAAAAATCTGCTACATGATGGTTCAGATCTTTGTCCAAGTTCACTATTGTTTACACTTTCTCCAGGGGTGGGATTCTACCAGTTTGCACCTATTCGCTAGAACCGGTTGTTAACATTCTAAGCAGTTCGGAGAACCGGTTGTTAGAAGAAATTACTGGCCTGATCCTGTAAGGAAGGCAGGAAGGAAACATTCTGGTGTTGCTTACAAAAACTGCCTCTCCATTAACCCTTATTACATTCTTGGCAGGACTAGACTTCCTGTCTCAGGAACGTCTCTGGAGTTTTTTCCCCTCCTTTGCTGGTACTTTGCTTGTGTGGAGTGACCATTTAAAGGTACAATGGCACTGACAAAAGTGACTGATGACCATTTTTCACAGTTATGACTGTTGTAGCATCCCTACAGTCATGAGAGGCCAGGCGAGGAGATGAGTGCCTCGATGTGAGTTATGTTGAATTGGCCACACCCAGCCAATAACATGACCACCAAGCCATGTCCACCCAGTCACATGACCACCAAGCCATGCCCACCACCTAAGCCACGCCCACAGAACTGATTGTTAAAAAATTTGAATCCCACCCCTGACTTTCTCCCAAGAGATATAGATTGGAATCTTTCCCAGCCTTACTTGGAGAGATTAAGGATTAAATCTAAGCATGCAAAGCAAAGATTCTGCAATGTAAATCTTTCCTTCAAATTAGAAACTTATCACAGCAGTCAGTAGCAAAAATTTTGTAGTTTACTTTAACTTTATATTTCAATTTTGAGGCCACCTGATTTCACCGCAAGTCTGGACAATTTATAATTAAAAAGAATTATAGAGACAACTATATAAATCAAAGAAATTGGGGTGGCGAGAAATTTACTTTACCAGAATTTTAACTTTCACATTGTTCATCAGACACTTTTTTCATCAACTAACAAATTTATACTCCGTAGCTATTCTTAGAAATGTGTTTTGTTCCTGGAACTGTTAATGTTATGTCCTTTTACACGTTTAATTAAAAAGGGAGAGATTGTCTCAGATAGTGTCAGAGAAAAGGCCTGTCATTTCCAGTTCTAGTGACCTAGCTGACTCGAGAGCTACTACTAAGATTGATAGATCCATCTCAAACAAGATATATTCTTTTTTTTTCAGATTGTAAAGCTAACATCCAGACAATTTATTTCCAAATACATGATATGTCCTCAAACAATATTTTATTGATATAAATTTATGCTTAATTTTAATCACATGGAACCCCTCCTGATTAGTTAAAAGGCAGAACAAGCTAATCACTTTGAGCACCATTTGGGAAGGAAAGGTGGGATGCAAATTTAACAAAATAAATAAATTATTTCCTTGGCTTTCTTTAACTATGTAATGATGTATTTAGCACAAATGTACCCATAGGCTTGGTCTATTCATAACTTTATAACAGAGTTCTTTACAGTATGAGGCAGTACATGAATTTCAGAGCAGCCACCTATTGTACAGCCAGCATTAAGAGAGAAGCAACCCTGAAAAACTAAATTTTTCCTTCTTACTTAACACTATACATGCATACACCAGAACCTTCCCTCAATCTTTAATAAATCGCTGCTAGAGTTGCACTGCTAAATTGCAGTGATCCCACTAATATTTCCCCAAGCAAAAACCGTTCTAGGAGACTGGGTAGCAGACATAGGATGAATAAGAAAAGTCCTTTGGCCATTATTTCATTTACTCCAGCATTCTGTCCTGGAATGGCCCATGGAAAGTTTATAAGCTTGGACCGCAAAATGCAGTTAAGGCATGCTGCTTAAGGACTCAGGGGGGGTAATAAAAAGCTATGCCTATTCATGGTCATTGATTGCATGATCCTCCATGAACCTGTCTAATCCCTTTTAAGAAATCTTCCAACTTGACAATCTTCCATAACTGCTAGCAGTGAATTCCAGTATAACTACTACTATAAAATGTTTCCCTCCTGTTGGTCCTGAATCTTCTCTATAACATTATATAACATTTTTCTCTCTCCCATAAACGGACAAAGCACTTACTGTGAGGGCGGATAGAACTCAGAATCTCTCAACTTTTGCCCTTCCGTGTGCTATAGTAATGTATTTTACTTGCGTGCATTAGCAAGATGTTTTAAAAAGTCAGCCTTTTTAAAATCTCAGAGTTAAAAATATTACAAGCTCCTATTCTGCCCCCCTGAGGAATACCCCTCATCATAGTTGTACCAAAAATGTTGTGTTTTGATATTGAAATAGTTTAAAGATGTTGCAGAATATGTTTTACTATGTTATGTCATTTATGTTGCCTAAGGAAAATTGTATGACAGGTTCTTATCTTATATGGACTGAAAAATATTCCAGTTCCATAAAAACAATTGCAAATAGCCGTCCCTTAGAGTTTAGTCTGCTGCAACTTCATTTGCACAAAAATAGTATTTTAGTGCCCATAGCAAATTTGTTATGTTTCACACAAGTATTGGGCTGTTCTCATGCAGTGCATGTGTTATATTATATTCTTATTTTTCTGGAATTCCTGACAACTATAGCCTACTTGCCAGTCCAACTTGCGAAGAGCAATGCGAGAGCGCCTGGTCCGTACTTCTCTTGACTTGGAGCTGGATCTTCAGGCATCCCGGACCCGTCAGAGTCGCCTGAATGATGAACTACAGACTCTTCGTGCTCTTAGGCAGAAGTTAGAAGAGATGAAAGCAACAGGGCAGACGGATCTTCCTCCATGTATTTTGGAGGATGAAAGATTCCAAAAGCTTTTGAAGCAAGCTGAAAAAGAGGTAAGAACATGAACTAATAAAGAAGCAAATGTATGATGTTTTAGTGTCTGTATGTACAGTTTTGACCAAGTGTTCAAATCAAATTGAAACGCTCAGAATGTATACTATCTCTATATTATTGGTATTATTTTTTTTCCTACTACCAGGTACTATTTGCATGGAGTTTCAGTGGTTTTAAATTTTATTTATTTTTATTTATTTGATTTGTCAATCGCTTACAAGATAACAGGTATAAGTATAAACATAGTTATGAATACATGAGATGGATACGTATAAGAAAAATAAAAAGAAACAATAGAACAGGGACGGTAGGCACGATTGGTGCACTTATGCACGCATAAGTGCACCAAATGTTCAGAAGTTGTACCAAATATTCAGAAGTCAGCGGTTTCTTGTCTTAGAAGAGTGCAGGCATTTAACAAATTGTTCAGAAAAATGGATAATGGTTTAATGAGGTAAAGCATTTTTTTTTTCATTTCATGCAGCCTATAGTGCAGGGGTGGCAAACGCACATTGTCATATGACATACCACAACTTTTTCCCCCTTCGTTAAACTGGGCATGGGGTGGCCAGCACATGATGCATCCAGCCCGCAGGCCACGAGTTTGACACCCCTTCTATAGCGGGGGGGGGGGGAGGTTTGCTGAGAACTTTACTGTTTTTTTCTAACACTTCAGAACTTATTAGTATAGCTCAAATTATTGAGCCCAATATCCAAGATGGTAATGTAATCTAATTTAGTAATTAAATGCATTTGGATATCAATAATCACAGAATTCCCTTAGGAGGATTAATTTTAGATGTTACAGGAGCTCAGGAGGTTTCTACAGTATATTTAACCAAGAGGATACCTACTTTTGCAGGGGTGAGGTGGGGAGTTATTTCCATTCTGCCTTGAAGAAACTGCTTCCTAATTTTTAAAAACATTTAATAATATGGTAGAGCTGGTTGTAAAACTGTTGCCTTCTAAATATAGAAAGATCATGTTGCCTCAAATTTAGGAAAAGCTGGGTTTTTTATTAAACAACTTTATACTTCTATACATAACTATAGATTCTTAAGAAATTTCATTATAACCAAATTCACATCATCTTACTTTTTTATCTAGTTTACATTAGCTGCTCATATCACAAAACAATATACAGTGGTGTACAATGAAACTAAAACAATAAATATCAAAAACAATTATCAATATTGATTATTTAAAATGTTAAAAACTATAAAAAAACAGAGCTAAAACTAGAAATAATAGACAAAGGGAAGTTAATAGTAATGGTGTTACCACACTAGTTCATCCATCCCCTTGGGGTACCCAGGCCTGCTGGTGTAACTTGAGGGACTTTCAGAAGCTCAGAAGGATAAGGCCAATCTCATCTCAGGGATGAAGATTCCATAAAGTGGATACCACAGAAGAAATGGTCCATTGCCAAGGGCCCACCAAATGTTGTTCCCTAGACAGTGGGGTATCATCAGCCCCATGATGTCCTGTTGCCTTGTCCACACCTCTTTACTTTATGAGAAGAGGATCTCTAGTTTTACAATGACTGGACCAGACTGGAAATGTACACACTTACAGTGCAACATCTGTTTTAATATTTTCATGGTCATGTACAGCTCTGAATAGTTAAAAAGTATTCATGTAGTACCATCTTCAGTTGTAATATGTTTACAGAAGCAAGCGTACCATGGAAATACTGTACATCATCCTATCCTGGCAAAAGCTTCCTTAATAAGAGATTTGCCTTTCTGGCAGGAAAAGGAATATATACATTTTTTGCTGATATAATTAAAGTGTGTTTGACATACAGGTGATCCAGAACACAGGTAGTTCTCGATGTACAACTATAATTGGGGCCAGAATTTCCATTGCTGTACAAGGCAGTTGTTAAATGAATTGTGCCTGATTTGATGGCCTTTTTTTGCCATGATGCTTAAGGAAATCACTGCAATTGTTAAGTGAACCAAGCAGTCATTAAGTGAACCTATTTTCCTCCATTTACTATGCTTGTTGGAAGCCAGCTAAAAGGGTCAACTATCATAAATACATGCTAGTTGCCAAGCACCCAAATTTTGATCACATGATTGTGGGGATTCTGCAGTGGTCATAAGTAGGAGAATCGGTTGTAAGTTGCTTTTTTCAGAGCCATTGTAACTTTGAATGATCACTAAACAAATAGATGTAAGTTGAGTACTACCTGTACACCTCTATATTCCATACTCAATATTTTTAAAAGTATCTCCCCCCCCTCCCAATATCCTCATCACTTGAAATCTAGATTGGATGTTTGTTTGTTTGTTTGTTTGTTTGGCAAAAAAATTTCCATGCCAGACTTGCTTGTTTGGACAGAAACAAGTAAAGAAAAAATAATGCACTGACATGACTTCATCAATATGAGATTATTCTTAAACTACACTGAAGATGCCCACAATCATCTTAGGTCAAAGGCCCAGTGAAATAAGATTGTTTTCCTGTGTTGTAAAAAAACAGGAAAGTGGAGCCTCATGAACTTATGGCAAAAGCAAATTCCATAAAATAAGGGCTACTATAGAAAATTCCTGCTGTCTTACCAACCACCCATATATGTTATGAGAAGAGGAGCCTCTCTCTTTGTGAATGACCGGACCAGATTGGAAATGCACATGATAGCAGGGCAAGATTTGCTTTAAACATTTTCATGGCCGTGTATTGCTTTCAATAGTTCAAAAGCATTCATATGGTGCCCTCTTCAGTTGCAATATGTTTACAGAAGCAGGCCTACCACAGAAATACTGTACCTATTACAATGCCAAAGTGAGTACTTTAAAAGCTTTTAATATACTAATATAAAAAGGGAAGGGAAGTATTAAAGCAGTGGAGTACTCTATTAACACAAAAGGAGGGCATTTAACAAAACCAATCAACATCGCAGGAAGCAGATAAATGAAATATAATTTAGACTGTGTATTATATACTTTTAATTGTCAGATTTTTTTAAAAAAAGGATTATAAAATTCCCGATTGTATTTGTTTCTTAGCTCATCCAAAGGATAATTAGATAGCTTATTGGGAATGCAAGACCACTTTGCCATGCAAGGTTTTTGGTGGCTTGCTGTCGTTTTTAGATGCTGTTAATCCATCTACAGGTGCTAATAGGAAAGGTTGGCATGCTAACAGAGCTTCTATTTGGAACATCACTTTCTGGTATTCAGATATTTGCCCACGGATTACAATACCATTAAAGAAACTGTCAAGAATTAGGTAGACCTTTTTCATTCATTCAACATCTTAATTAAATCAGACCAAAGTCATTTGAATTGCAGTGCCAAGATGCCTTTCCTTTTATTTTTGCTGAAGATGGTTTGCAAGGTGCTTACTTAAATCCTCTATAATATTACGAGTTATTAAATGTGGCTTGTAATTGTTTCCATTAGGCAGAACAGTCAAAGGACAAAAAGAAACAGGGATTAAATGCAGAAAAATTGATGAGGAAAGCTTCAAAAGATGTATGCCGATTACGAGAGCAAAGCCAGAAAGTGCCAGTACAGGTGCAGTCTTTCAGGTGAGAAAAATTTGTATCTCTATGAGCTTTGTAAAACTGTTCAGCAATTTCTACACTGAATTTTTCAGCTTCACTATGCAGCATATAGTTCTAAAATTAGCTCTATGGTAAATTTCATTGCAGTTTCAATCATTTACAAGACAACTTAATTCAAATGTTCTGAAATAAATAATCAAAGATCCATGATTTAGCTTTGGGGTCCCATATTCATAAACAACTCTTTGGATAAAGAACTGTTGTTTCCAATAACAAATAAAATACACTTTACTGTCAATTAACAAGAAATTATTTACACCAGAAATTATTTATACTTGTTTTCAGCATCCTGACTGCCAATAGTCAGTTTTCCCTAAGTAAAATGGGTGAATAGGCGGTAATATAAATTCAATAAATAAATAAATTCACCTGGCTAGAAACACACTGATGACCAGAATAAAGTTCTATCTATCAGTCTGTCTTTCTCTGATGAAATAGTGGTTATAGTTCAAATTCAAACCATGGCTATTTTGGTTATTGGAAAATCTCTTCCCTAAATGTTAGCCAATCTTGCTTTTAACCACTAGCTAAGGGAACTGTTACATGATGAAGAGAGCTTATCCACAGTAAATGCTTTTACCTCCCTGACCCAGCCCCCAAGGCGGCCGGAAAGAAATGTTCTAACAATGGATCTTCCATCTTGGAACCAGCCTGCTGCTGAGGAGGCTGAAGTCAGACCAAGGTAATTTGGCAGGAAAGTGGTATTTTCCATCAGAAAACAGAAAAAAGACTGAAATGAACTTCTTATGTCAGCTAGATGTCATCAGAGGGTCAGTGACCTGCAGTTGTTCCTTTCCATTTAACCATGGGGCTCTGTGTGTCCATGGCCATTTTTGCTTCAACTGCTACAGAGAACAGAAGAGTTGGGATGTTTTGTTTTGATTTTGTCTCAAGAAATACTGGCCTTGTATAAGTCCTTCTATGATGTCACTAGTCCCATTGGTAAGCTCCAGCTGGGAAATAGTCCACTGTCTGGTCATTTCCCCACTCAGAATTTGCTGTGGTTGTCCCTATGAAAACAAAAGGTAGGATCAGGTCATTGCATCCTCCTGGATCACAGTGATTGGCTGCTGTCAGAATTACCAAGCAACTCCAAGATCTGGTCAAAATTGCTCCCTCCATGGTGGATCTAGTCTACCCAAAATTCTTCTGCCCATTACAACCTGAATGCTACTACCTGCATCTCTTTTCCCCCAATTCCACTCTTCCTCAACCCCACTCTTCTTGGCTAATAAACCCATCTAACCACTGTCATTCCCCACCATAAATCCTAGTAACTATTCTCAATTGCTGTTGCTTCCAGTCGTGTAGTAATCAGAGAGGCCAGCCTCACCAACCATTTCTACATCTGCATTCCTCTCTTCCCATGTCCAAAAAGCCCATTCCTAAGTGGGCGGTTGATCAGACCTGCCAACACTCCGAGTCTGCACACAGAAAAAAAGACCTCTTCAGTGAACAGGAGCCTAAACCAGATCCCAGACAGCAAAATACCTGAGATTTATTTATTTGTTTTATTTATTTGATTTGTCAATCGCTTACAACATAATAGGTATAAGTATAAACATAGTTATGAATCCATGGAATTGATACATATAAGAAAAATAAAAAGAGTCAATAGTCTAGACTAGACTAGACTAGACTAGACTAGACTAGACTAGAATAGAATAGAATAGAATAGAATAGAATAGAATAGAATAGAATAG